ACCTCTGCAATGAGAAGCTGAAGCAACACTGTCCTGACTCATGTACAGATGCAGATGCACCACAGACACGCAGAAGTACTGGAGCACACAATCATTATCCATGACTTAGAGCTGCACTTTTCCTGTGGCCTAATTTTAACTAAAATGATGACACCTGCTGATGCACGTCAGGTGCACGCTCACTCAGGTCCACACTGCTCTCAGCTGGCAGCACAGCGGAGGAACCGACTGCTCTCCAACGTGCTACGGTGGACGCAATATTGTTCTTTCATGACAACATGTAAAACCATGTAAGTAGAACACAATAACTTCTTGACTGATTTTTAAATATATTTATAATTTTGTATTTCGGCAACTTGGGTCTAATTATTTTGCAGGTTCATAGCTGAGGAAACGAGGCTGTGGCTGCATGACGACTCGGCACAAACTGAGCCAGCTGTATATATGCACTTTTTATTGTGTTCACCTTGGTGCAATTCTTATTAATATATTTTTTTGATAATTTTATTGTTCTTTATCACTCCCGTTATTGTTGCAATTCAAGATTGTGCAATATTAGTTTCCAACTACTGTTATTCTTTTATCCATCCATCCATCCATACATCCATCCATCCATCTTTACCCACTGTCTGTTATTTGTTATAAATATTTTGTTTATTAAAGTATTAGCATTGTTGTAGAATGTAGCCTTTTCAATTCATTTTCATGCACACACCAGTTTTATTCCGTGGTGTAGTGCGGGTGAACGTTAAAATCGCTCTGTCATCAGCAACAGCATGACTCAGCTTAATTTAGATAACAGTCTATCCAAACAATAAATAGTGGCTATCCAAGGACATAAAAACCTGCCTGCTTTTAAAGAGGAAAACTTTCTTAAAAGGGGATATGCAACAGGTGCAGAAATTGTAAGCAAAGATAGCAAAAATAGAATATAAGAATAAAATAAAAAGAAAGTTAACTTCAGGAAACTCAAGGGATGCATGGCAGGGTCTAAATACCATGATGGGCAGAGTTTCCAAGCCTACATCAGTAGACTGCCTGGACCCAACCTCCTTTGCAGAACAACTGAACTAATACCTCTCCAGATTCAACAGCAATTCCATTCCAACCAGTTGGATCCCACAAATTTCCAGCACCGCTCTTAAAGACATTATTATTGATGAACGGCTCGTCTCTTCCATCCTGCATCGAGTTAACCCACACAAGGCTCCTGGTCCTGACAGACTCACAGAAAGAGTGCTGAAGGAGTGTTCCACTCAGCTAATGGGCCTCTTCTACAGCTCCTCTTCAGCACGACTCGGCTCAGTTCGGTACGCTTCTGAGCCCTTTTCCACCATCACTTTTTTGTGGAACCGGCACCTTTTTTGGTCCCTTCTTCTCAGTGGTACCAAACGAGCCGAGCCAGCACTAAAATGTGACATCAGAACACTGTCGGTCACTGATTGTTCAGGGGGCGGCGTCACTAGAGGGGTTTGAGAATTTTCACAAAATTTGATTAGCCATTTGCAATTACCGGTATTCGAACTCGAGGAGCGGCTGGACCTATTTCGAATATTTATAAAACAATAATGACAACACCGTGGTCTAACGCTGAAGTGCAGGTGTATTTTTTGTGCTTGGTGGCTGACGACAAAATTCAGAGCGAGCTAGATGGAGCTCCGCTGGTCTCCCCGGTCCTCTCCTCTGGAGCCTCGGAGACCCCGCAGGCCGCGCAGAGCGTCATCTCCCCGGCTCCGAGCTCCACTGGTCACCGCAGAGGATCATACAAGCTGCTGACTCACAGAAAGCCATTGCCCAGACCCCGGCCGTGGGTGCTCATGAAGGCCGAGCCTGGTAGATGGGTCTGATGCACAGAGGGTGGAAACAATTTTTAAAAACATTTTATGTATTTTTTTTTTTATCAGTGAAGATTAAAATAAATAAATAAACGGTGCCGGCTTTATCGTGAAATCCTGTTTTCACGTTAATGACTTTATTAAATAATCTGTTAAAGTTAACTCAGCTGAAAAATCATAACGAGACATAAAATTATTGGGTCTCAGGAATATTTCCCTCAAACATGTTTAAAGAAGAGATTCAGCCTTTAGTTCAACTTTATTCTAACCCACAGATGAACATATCACACAACAAGAATTAAACTTTAAATCAAAGCTAAAAAAAAAATATCTGTGAGCAAGAAACAAAACCACAGATCTAAATTGAACAATGAAAGTAGACAATGAGTGCAAATACTGACTGCAATATGGGGAGTGGTGGCGCAGAGTTTTTTTTCTTTTTCTTTTTTCTTGTCTTTTTTGGCGCAGAGGTTAGAAGATGGGCTTGTGATCGTAAAGTTGCAGGTTCAACTCCCGGTACCGTCAACATCAAAATGTGGGTGGAAAAGGTGAAGCACCCACACCTGCCTCCACCCTCATTTGCCCCACTCTGGGCCCCTGAGCAAGGCCCTCAACCCCCACCATCTGCTCCTAAACAGGTCTCTCTTTAAAATGAGTTCTCGTGACTCAATGAGACTACCTGGATAAATAAAGGTAAATGAAAAAAAACCCAAAAAAACAAACATCAAATGATGAAGAAAACGTATCAAAATTTTAAATATAGATGTTTTTGTAGAATCTGGTTCACCTGAGATTTAATGGTGAACTAAAGTTCATTAAAAGTTCATTAAAAGTTCATTAAAAGTTCATTAAAATTACATCAATAAGTTAAAAAAGTTAATCAATCAACCTTTATTTATTCAGGTAAATCCCATTGAGCCTCCAGGACTCATTTACAAGAGAGACCTGATTTCAACAAAGAAAGATGACAACAATGGACAACAGCAACAACAATAAACAGTTATAAGAAAAGCATACTGTTTTTTTTTTAACAAATAGGATGGCTAAAAGGAAAAGGTAACAAAACAAAAAACAGCTAGATTCCAAGACAAATGGAACAGATCAGCAGCAACATGGAACAGATCAAACGTTAAACGTTCATCAATAAGTTTATACTTCTACCTACTCCTTTGAACGTGTAAATATACAGATACAGAGTTTCTTTATTGTCATTTGCACCTCATGTGGTACATGTGGTGGAGCGAAATTATATTCACAGGGTCCCAGTTACATCCAACAATAAAATGTATAAGAAAAACAGTAATAACATCTAAGATATGGACTAAGAAAAACATCAAGTAAAATACACTAAACACTAACAGCATAAAAACATTATGTCGAACATCAGCACGAACATGAGTCTGTGTGTGCTTGCTATTTAGTTTTGATTGTTTTGATTTGTAAAAAAAAAAAAAGAGCAAGTTAAATTTGTATACCTACAGTATATCTATTTTATGACTGTCTGTTGCTGTCATCACTCTCTAAAATCAGGTCTCTCTTGTAAATGAGTCCCGAGGCTCAATGGGATTAAACTGTAGAAATAAAGGTTGAATGAATGAGCAGATGAGCAGGCATGAGAACAGCAACATGAAAAAGATCAGTAGCAACATGGAACAGATCAGCAGCAACATGGAACAGATCAGCAGCAA